ACTACTACTACTACTACTACTACTACTACTACATCTACTACTACTACTACTACTACTACAACTACTACTAATACTACTACAACTACTACGACAACGACTGCGGCTGCTAATAATAATACGAGCGAAATAATAATAATAAGGATAATAATAAAAGCAGTAGTAGTGTTGTTATAATCAAGACCGTCTCCATCTTACGTATTGTTAGCCTAGTTTAGTGACGTCAGCAGCATGGCCCGTCATTTGGAGACGGTCTTGGTGTAATCATATTATTATTGTTATTAGTAGTAGTAGTAGGTGGTGGTGGTGGTAGTAGTAGTTGTAGTATTACCAGCAGCAGCAATGACAGCATCAGTATCAACATTAATAATAGGATTAACACCGTGGAGTTAACTTCATCTGCGACCCAGGTTATGTGGATGTTTCTGGGAATGAAAGAGGTGATAGAATGGCCGGTTCTGCCTCGGCTGCAAACGGGCGGCCTATGGATCGAGATGACATTATTATTGCTCTTATAGAGAAATAACCAATCGGAGCATTTTGGGAGCAGTGCAGTGTCTATATACCACTGCTAATAATGAGAGAATTGTGAGAAAAAAATCGGCACAGCCAGGCACGAGAGGCACACCTAGCTTATAAGAAGTCTTGTCAACAAGCGTAAGACTGACGATGTAAACCACGGGAAGGTTTGGTTTAGACGACGGATCAACATCACTGCAAAATGATAGTAACTTATAAGTGCTTCTACTTCTGACTCAAGCCTGAATACGAAGAATCTCAGCGCAGTGCACGAACTCCGTAGCACCGGTGAGGATTATGAAATACAGAAAGAAAAAAAAAAAAACAACCCATGAGATTAGCAGCTATAAAAGCCTAATTAACTAAGCAAAGTAAGTAATGAACCCTTTTCTACGCCTTCAGGCGTATCAGGCACATAGGGCTAGACATATATTTTATTGAGCAATACGCTCTTGGTGGGTGATGTGGTCAACATCAAGCCGGCCGCGTTTATTTCCTAAGACTGCACCTGGTACCCACTCAAAGCTGGGTCGACCTGGGAGCCAAGGTCATTTTTAAACAAAGCTCGGGTACGTCAGGACTCGAACCCATGACCTTTCTATCCGCAGGCGAGGGTCTAGCCGTTACACCACGGCGACTCCAAAGAGCCTAATTAATTCCGAGTATATATGACCTTCCAAGCAAACTGGTTCGTATGCGGTACTCACCCAAGGCCGTCTTCAATACTGAAGACGGCCTTGACTCGCCCAACCTTTCTCGCGCCTTCTAGGCTCGCGCCGTCTCAACCCCATTCAGCCATCACCTATTGTAACATTTTCCTGTTATTTACCCATGCACGTTAGTACCTGCTAGGAGAAAAATTGACGTACGTCGTAAGTGCTGGGAAAGTTGTGGAAAAATTGGGAGCGGGGGGGGGGGGGGCGTAGAGAGAGAGAGAGAGAGAGAGAGAGAGAGAGAGAGAGAGAGAGAGAGAGAGAGAGAGAGAGAGAAGAAACTGGGCAGTTTGACATTGTGGCATGGGATATTATCTATGTCAGAAGTGATTTAAATTATATGAAACAGAAGGTTGTGGATAAACGTTACTAATAAGACCACACGGTATAAACTACAAGAAAAGGGAGAAGAAAACGTCTGCAGTTCATAGCATCAGATGTGTGCTATTTTCAGTTAGCAATTACCCAGGTAAGAAAATCTATCTATTTTTTTTTAACCCCACCAGGACATCACAAAAGCGATAAACACCAGATGACACAAAGTGCCACCATGTGGATGAGGATCACACGCGGAGAGGTCCCATAAACCGCGTTCAGCCATTAGGCCGCTATATTGCGGCCCCAGGCAAGAGCCAGAGTAGGGCTTCAAATAACGAAAAACTGCATCCCACACAGGGATGACAAGATTTTTTTTTAAAAAGGAAAGAAAATGTCCTAGGTGCGCTGTTAAAGTTTTTCGATCTTATACAACTATTGACTTAACAAACATAACATTTTATATCCTATAAACCTTTTAGGCCTACCGTGACATTTTCAATCTTATTCAACTATTAGCTTAACATTTTCAATCCCCTGAGTAGATTTATTTCCTGAGTTTGAATTTTTTTTTTTTTTTAAACAAAAATCTTACTTTGACATGAAATCTGGAAACCCTAAGTTGTAAAAGTTGTAAAACATATAAATTTCAAAGCTTAGCAAGTAATGGGGCAACTATCATCCCTGTTGACACACAAGTAGATACCCCGGAGTACTAAAGTAAATCTTATCAGAACTATATTTTAGCCAACATTAAGATATCAGTGCCAAACGTGGACACTTTCATCCTCTAATGTGACAACAGAGATGAAATGCCTTAGAAGAGCTGCATGAGTTTTAAAGAAAGACAGAATACGAAATCAGGAATAAAGCCAGTCTTACAGGTCATCAAAGAACAACTTATGAAGTGGTTTGGACACCTGACAACAATGCCATGGTACTATCTGCCACAGCGAGCCACACTGAAACGTTACAACGGGTATAGCACGAGCGGAATACCTCGGAAAAAAATGAAGCGATGTCATTTAAAAACAACCTTACAGAAATGAACATTAATCTTAATAGTGCTCTTGGCAGAGCTCATCAACGAACGTTACATCCCCCCTCCCCGACACTTCGCTGAGGTACAAGGTGGAAGAGAAGAAGAATAGATTGTTTAGCCTGTACAGAGACAGGGAGCTTTAAAACCTCAGTGCTTGTACGTGAAAGATATGATAATAAATTGTGGCGGAGTTATTTAGGGATCAGAAGTAAGGAAGAAATCTTAATATATCTTATACCAACTAACACCCATGTAAATTAGATTGCAAGTTACTTCAAACCGTATGTGCCCCGCTATAATTGCGCTATACGGTTGAGCGTGATATCCGGGATTTGTACCTGTGTGATTATCAGTCATAAGATGTTAATCCTACATACTGCAGTCATGGAGGGGGTGAAAAGGGAAGGAATTTGAAAAGACAGCTTCTCGACTGGAACCGCAGGCAGGCTGTTGGGGGCCAGGACTGGAACCGTTCAGTGAGAGAGGACTCGCAGCCTCGTTATCACACAACATCAAGTATGCTATGGCGGAAGGTGTTTCCGTGCTCTCTATGAGAATGAGAGAAAACCTGTTCTTAGAGGATACATCTTTGGAGTGTATTGAAACGGAATCACAAGGGAGTAGAGATGAGAATATTGAAAGAGATCCCGGGTTTGTGGAAGACAGATTTCGGGTAGATAGGAAGAAATTGGAACAAATGCTTCAGTTGGGTAAGTATGTGGTTTTTCTTTTCTGGTCATTTTCGGTTAATGGAATTTTTCTTCTTTACATTTCGGAGTGGCGGCCCTTGTGATAGCAGACTTGAGGAGGTCCATGGTTGTTGTAGGAACATTCAACAGATTTATAATCTTTATAATATGTGTATGGGTATTTATTGGCACTTACAGAAGGTGTGGGTAAAAATACAAAAGGGATGAAGTGTCTTGTTCTTTTTCGCTTTCACCGGCTGTAAACTTCGCCATAAAGTTCTGGTTGTTCGTCCATCTCTGGACTTTAGTCTTGTTCAAGAACCTGGGTTTGCGTGCATATATACGTTTTATACATCTGACTTATTTGTATGCAGATTGTTTGTTTCTTGCGTCCTAGTCAGTTGCACTTCGACTGAAAAAAGACACAATTTAGTTGAATCTTAGGACATGCTTGTTGGGGTGGCAGTGTGTCTATTCTTGTTTTCCCCACAGTGAGGCCCTGGCAACCCATACTGGCACCACTAGAGTAAAGGTAAAAAAAACACCAAAAAAACAGCCCGGCGATACCTCAGTGAAGCCTGTACATCACTTATTAGCGGGCATTTTGTAATGAATTCAAGTTTTAAGTTGATTTTGACAACACCAGTATATGGAGAACTGACCATAGGGGAGCTGTGGCAAATTACCGAACGTAAATTTGCTTAGTAAAACCAGAAAATGCTAACAAATTCTGAAGATGGTTTGCAACGTCTTGGAAAAGGATATATAATTTCTCATTCTTGTGAAATACAGTTTTTCACTTATCTAGGTGGTCTTCTTACTTATATAAACAACTTCTTCCTATAGTCCAAAGCTGTTTAAAAGTTTAAGTTAACCCAGGGACCAAAAGTTTGAAAACGAGTATCATGACGGTCTAGAGGGTCGAGCCGCAACATAGAAAGATTCTTGAAACAATATAACTGGCAGTGATGTGTGTGCCACTTGCTAGACACTCACGGGCCGCCAGTTGAATAGCTGTTATATAGTTCATGCTGTGTGGCGTTGGTAGTCATGTCTATCCATAATCTTCTTATAATCAATGCTGTGTGTCATTGGTAGTCATGCCTATCCACAATTTTCTTATATTACATGCCATGTGACATTGGTAGTCATGACTATCCACAACCTTCTTATATTACATGCCATGTGACATTGGTAGTCATGTCTTTCCACAACCTTCTGAAAGTCCATGGGATGTGGTGTTGGTAGTCTTGTCTATTCCACAATCTTCTGTCTTGTATACTATCAGTTATTTGTGACACAGGTGACCTTCCATGCTTTGATATCAAACTGTCTAGCATCTTTTTTTTGGGGGGGGGGGGGGGGGGGGGGGGGGGGGGGGGGGGGGGGGGGGGGGGGAATAGGAAACAAACTTCTCTTTCTTGTCACTTATCTAAGCAGCCTTACTAGACTAAGCCACTTCTTTTAGTCCATGCCGTGTGGCGCTGGTAGTCATGTCTATCTTCTGTCTCTTATACTTTCAGTCATTTCTGACACAGGTGACCTTCCATGCCATGATATCAAACTGTCCAGCCTCTTTCCCCCTCACACTACCCCACTAATACCACAGACTTCCCCACTGTCAGTTTTCTCCTTTTCATGTGCGGCCTTACTAGACTAAGCCACTCCTTTTTTTTTTTTTTGACATTGTTCAGACTGTCATGTTTATTATTGAACAATGAACATTTACAAACGTCTACCACGTCTGCCTCCCTTTCTGCGAGTGCTGTCTGATGGGATTGGAGTTACATCCTCAATACGCCCAATATTCATTCCAGAACGGGCAAGAGCTTTCAAAGCTGACTGAGCACCTGGACCAGGGGTCTTTGTCCTGTTGCCACCAGTTGCCCTGAGCCTTATGTGCAGAGCAGTGATTCCCAAGGTCTTGCAGCGTTCAGACACATCCTGTACAGCCAACATAGCAGCGTACGGGGAAGCTTCATCACGATCGGCCTTCACCTTCATACCGCCGTTGATTCTGCAGATTGTTTCCTTTCCGGATAAGTCAGTTACGTGGACAAAAGTATCGTTGAAGCTGGCAAAGATGTGGGCAACACCAAAGACATTCTCTCCTTCTTTGGCTTGTGGTCCCAGCACCACCTGCTCTTGTTGCTGAGGCTTTCCTCTTCTTGGGGGCATTATATCTAAATATGTTATTATTTCTATCAAAAATTGACTATTAGTATGGATTTCAACAGATTTGTAGTCCATGCCATGTGGCGCTGGTAGTCATGTCTATCACAGCCTTCTGTCTCTTATACTATCAGTCATTTCTGACACAAGTGACCTTCCATGCCATGATATCAAACTGTTCAGCCTCTTTCCCCCTCACACTAACCCACTAATACCACAGACTTCCCCACTGTCATTTTTTCCCTTTTCATGACATAACCAACAAATCTAGATCCTTTTAATGTGAGCAGTTATCTTCGGGGGTCAGTTTCTTTGAAGACATCTTCATTACTCTTTTTTGTTTGTCCTGGCTGCGTTCATCCATCTATAAAAACCACATCTCCGCTATTTCCATTTAATTTCCTAAGCCACTTCCTCTCGATTAGTTTATGAGACCAGTTACGGCCAGGGATGAAGTTCCTCATCTCTATAGCACAAAGCCTGGGCAGTGTTGTAGAGACCATGTGTCAACCACGCATCATGATCGCCCTTTCTCTCAATCTGCCTTGTTTACTAACACCAGTACGTTTAGAACAAAGCAGGCTGCAGAAGCTACCTGATCAGAAGAGCAGTACTCTATCTGTCCGCCTGTCAGAGCTTCTATCCTAGACCAGCTGCCAGCCAAGACTTTGGGCCTGATTTGCCCTGTGAAAAGATACATGAACCAAACTTCTATGCCTTTTAAACTTAGTTTATTTGTTTACTTTTGTTACCTTTTCGACTTTTGAGATGATAGTGTTTTTACATTACGGGGCATGGGGAATCACTGCATATGGTGATGGTAAGATTACCAGAAGTGTGACTAGTAAGACAAGCTCTGGTTAACAAAAGTCTTCCACAACAAAGTCATTGAATTTTAGAATCATTGTTGCCAATGTGTGTTGTTGTTTTTCTTCTCTGATGCTCAGATATTAACCTTTCATCAGTCATTTTTGTCCTCTGTCATATTCCATTCCTGATTTTTCTCCTCCTTGCAGAGTGGTCCATCGGATCCTGTTCTCATGTATTCTTCAGCTACCTGTGTCATCATATTCCACTATCAGCTTCAAATCTCTGTGTGTCCTACCAACCTTTGACTGTGTCCTAGCCATCTGAGCCTTTAGAAATGTGCTTTTTTGTAACACCGGCTCTTTCCAAATCATCAGTGTTGGTAATCCTGTTTTCCACCTAATGACAAATATTCATCATAGGCATCAGTGACACCTGAAAGCTATTTCGCTATTTTCTTCTGCTAATTTTGCTTGTTAACTAAGTCTGTAAAGACTGATGAAAAGGCAGAATTTTGCCAGATCCTGTAAGACTTTTTTTTTTTACACTTTGGTCTGAATTATTTATAGAACCCTTTTGAACATTTCATCTTCTTCTTTGCGTTCACCAGCGGTAAACTCCACCAAATATTTCTGGTTACTTGTTGACCACTGGACATTAGTCTTGTTCCAGAACCTGAGTGTTGTGTGCAAGACTCACATAAATCGAACAAAACCACACGAGTAAACAAAAATCACTCAACCTGACGTATTCCAAAGCAGCCACATTGATGTCATAAGAGTCAACTAAATAAGGATTTTCTAATACTTCTTCTTCTTCTTCATGTTCACTAGCTGTAAACTCTGGCGGAAAGTTCTGGTTGTTCGTCCACTTCTGGACTGCAGTCCTGTTCCAAAACCTGAGTGTTGCGTGTACATCCGTTTTATCGATCTGATTCATTGGCATGCAGACTGCTGGTTCCTTGCCTCTCAGGCAAATGCACTCCGACTTTGAAGGAAGCTCCCAATTAGTCGACTCTTACGACATGCTTTTAGCTAGGCTGTGGGTCTATTCTTGTTTTCCCTATTATAGGGCCCGGGGACCAACACTGGTATTTTCTTATAGTAATAAGATATGTCAGTAAACTTCTCATATGAATTATCGTGGAGGGATTTTCTTTCTTCTTTTTCTTCTTCACGTTCACCAGCTGTAAACTCCGGTGAAAAGTTTTGGTTGCTTGTCCACTACTAGACTTTAGTCTTATTCCAGAACCTGAGTGTTGTGTGCACATCTGTTTAACATATCTTACATAGTTATATGCAGATTGTTGGTTCCTTGCTCTCATGCAGGTGCACTTGTTGGTTCCTTGCTCTCATGCAGGTGCACTAGTTGGTTCCTTGCTCTCATGCAGGTGAACTTGTTGGTTCCTTGCTCTCATGCAGGTGCACTTGTTGGTTCCTTGCTCTCATGCAGGTGCACTTGTTGGTTCCTTACTCTCATGCAGGTGCACTTGTTGGTTCCTTGCTCTCACACAGGTGCACTTGTTGGTTCCTTACTCTCATGCAGGTGCACTTGTTGGTTCCTTGCTCTCATGCAGGTGCACTCCGACTTGGAATGAAGTCCCCAGTTAGTCGACTCCTACAACATGCTTGTTGGCGAGGCAGTGGGTCTGTTCTTGTTTTCTTGTTTTCCCCACAATGGGGCCCCAGAACCCACACAGGGAATGCGGATGTTCCTTGTCTGTCTGGTTTCTGGAGCCTCATCTGAGGGTGTGAGGAAGGATTAAACCTCTCTTCCTCTAGGAAGTATGTTGTAGGAGTCAACTAATTAGAAGTTTTTCTTTTGAACTCGGAGTTCATCTGCCTGAGAGTCAAGAAACCAACAGTCTGCATACAGATAAGCCAGATCTGTAAAAGGAGTGTGCACAAAACTCAAATTCTGGATCAAGACCAAAACTCAGGAGTGCACAAACAGCCAGAACTTTCCATCGGAGTTTACAGCTGGTGAGTGTGAAGAAGAAGAAGAAGAAGTAGGAACCCCGCTCAATGAGGTCGATCAACATGATGTTGATGTGTGTTTTTTCTCCACACACCCCTCCCCTTGTTCTGTCTTTGTCTTCTGCTTCCCAACCCAGCCTGTAGCAGCAAATTAAACTGTATTACTGTTATCTAGTCTGGGAACTGTTATTGATTACAGTTTGTTAAGTTCATGTGCCAAGAGCTGTTCTCCTGTTTCATCTCTCATCCTCGTGGCTGATAAAATTCCCTTGATTTTGTGTTTCATGTTGCTATGAAATTATCTTGTTTTTTCCTTTCTCCAGCTCAGGTGGTTTGTCTTTTGTGAGGGTGGTAGCTAGCAGGTAGACAGTTGAAGCAGTAGGAATTCACATCTACTAGGTGGCTCGACACCTCACTTTAAGGGGAAGAATCATTAACTGTTTAGGAAGGAATGTAGACAAAGATGGGAGAAAAGATAGAAATATTAGTAAGTAAATATCCCTTTTCACGCCTTTGGGCGTATCGAGTGTATGGGAAGAGCGCCCATATTTTTACAGACCATCGGCACTAGGTGGGTAATGTGGTCAGCATTACTCCAGCCGTCTTTACTTTCTCAGGACAGCCATCCTGGTGCCCATTTTAGGCTGGGTTGACCTGCAGTGCTGCATACCATTACAAAAATCCACGCAGCCAGCAGTGGGTTTCGATCACCATACGTTGGAATTACGAGTCAGACTCATAATGCCTAAGCCACGGATGCTGCTAGATAGAGATATCACAATAAGAATTTTTTTTAATGTCCATTTTACAAGGTAGTTTGAAAGAGTCAAAAGAAAGTAATCCTGGTATTAGATTAAGAATGTTTAATTTTAACTTCAAAGCATTTCTGCTGTATGGATCAGAAAACTTTGAGAACAAATACCACTGAACTTCTTCTTCTTCTTCTTCTTCTTCTTCTTCTTCTTCTTCAGCATTCTGAGCTCATGAGGTTCAATGCTGCAGATATCACACATATCCATTGATCTCTATGAACTGGTCTTCTCCTTCCGGTTGGTGACGTTCAGCATATGTAGGTCTGTTTAATTTTATCTCTCCACTGTCTTCTTGTCTTCCTTGTGGTCTATTCCTATTGAGATTTGTTGCTTTCACTGCTCTTGTTTGCCTATAATCTGCTGTTCTCTCTATATGTCCCAACCATTGTAGTCTATTAGACCAAATGAAGCCAATTGTTGGTGAGGATTTAAACTGATTATGTTGGGGCTTCTCACTTTCCACTCTCTGCTGTTTGCATCATTATGGATCCAAAGATTTTCTTCTAAAGATAAACATCAACCAGGATAATCAACTGTTATACTATGGGCATAATAAATTCACGGTTTTAATGACAGAAAGTTAGTTAGATTCATTATCTAAATATTCATAGCACAATTTCTATCTTAATATCACCCCCGACCCCTTCTCCCCCTCCCCCCCCCCATTCCCAGTAGTCTTTCAATGTATGGATTTTGTGTCTGTTCTAATGCACTCCATTTGATCCCAGAGAGCCCTCACAGCGTCCTCTTTATCATAAAATAGCTCAACTCCCAGAGGAGTGGCAGCAGCCAATCTATCATTACCTTGTGCTTACTGGCTGGTACTGGCTATTTTCATGCCATGAAGACGTAAAGTGTATTTATGTGTGTTGATCCATATATTTTAATGGCGGTCCTCTTGATTTTCTGGCTGATCTTCTGAGATGTAGTGCCTGTGATGGTATTTGATATTACTGCATTCTAACAAAATGGCCAAACCACTTGACCTGCTGTTAATAAATCTAGTACAAGTTGTTGTTCCCACAGTCTTGCAAATTGAATCATTATTCACTTATTCTGGGGTGTGGGCTGGTTGGGTTGGCGGCTTTTCCTAGGCATCTCGTCACAGGTGGCGATTTTGCATATAGGAGCCTAGATAGTTCCACGGAAAGTCCTATAGTTTGGAAGTGTGGCACCCTGCCACACTTGCATTTAATCCTAACCGACGAGTATGTTTACATGGAGACTGTGGCTCCTTTTCAGGGCTCTTTGCACCCCAAGTTGGCTCTTTTTAGGACCCGCCCCAAAATATTCCCAGTTCACATCGCACTGCCTAACGTCTGCCCAAGAGAAACACCGGTTCCAGTCGAACTTTGCGGGTCGCTAAGTAAATTGCAGAATACAGTGAAGCTTATACTAGAGATGACATTGC